TGGAGCTGTAAACTGGCAGCCGACTGTAAGCCGTCCCGTACTGACCCGATCCCACTCTTCCGCCTCGGCGCCGCCCGCAGAGACTTTGCCAACCGCGCCTTTGCAGCCTGCACAGATGCAAACCGCAACAGGGTCAGCGAGGAGCTGCGCGCCCTCATATTCAAGTCGTTCCAAGAGGGCACCATACACTCGACCGACTGGAGCAAGATGCAGCTCAAGTCGCTCAGCGCCGGCCTCGGCGCAAAGCAGCCCATCAAGAAGCGCAACGCACCCGCAACGTCGTCGTCGGACAGCTTCGAGGACCTGGCCAAAAAGGAGAAGCGCGCGCGCCGCTTTGAGCGCGAGCAGCAGGAGTTCCGACGTGCAGAGGACGAGGTGCTGACCAGCGCCATCGCATCGACCAGTCTAGCAGGGCGGCTCGGCGCTGCAGCCATGGCACCAGGGCCCACCAACAGCAAGGGCAAGAACGGCAGGGGCGCCAACGGCCACGGCCACGACCCCAACGGCGCCGCTGCCGGAGGTGGCTATGGCAAATACGGTAAGAAGAACGCGTGGCAGGCGCCCCCGGCGGCCGCCCACTCGTTTGTCGACCCAGAGGTGGCCGACCCCAACGTCATCGACTGGGACGAGCACACCGTCGTCGGCCTCTCGACCAAGCTCGAAAAGCCCTACCTCCGCCTCACCTCGGCGCCCGACCCAAAGACGGTGCGCCCGCTCTCGACGCTCCAGCAGACGCTCGAGCTGCTCAAGCGAAAGTGGCGCACCGAGAACAATTACGCCTACATCTGCGACCAGTTCAAGAGCATGCGGCAGGACCTCACGGTGAGTCGGAGCGGACGGGGAGTCCGAACTGTCCAGCGGCGCGGCGCGGCACGGTGGAAGGTAGCGCTGACATCGGTCGCTCGCCCGGCTCTCCCACCTGCCCTACCCTACCCTGCTCTGTCTGGCCGCGCCTGCAGGTGCAACGGATCAAAAACGACTTCACAGTCAAGGTCTACGAGATCCACGCCCGGATAGCGCTCGAAAAGGGTGACCTGGGCGAGTACAACCAGTGCCAGTCGCAGCTACGAGGGCTGTACGCCTACAACATCCCCGGCTGCGTCATGGAGTTCCTCGCGTACCGCATCCTCTACCTCCTGCACACCAAGAACCGCCGAGGTGGGTCCTGCCTGTGCTGCGCTGCCATGGCCGCTGTGCCGCATCGCTGACGCCGCCCGTCCCTTGCCTCCTCTCCCTCCTCGCCCTCTTCGCAGACGTCAACGCGCTCATGTCCGAGCTGACGGCCGAGCACAAGGCCGAGCCGGCGGTGAGCCATGCGCTGGCGGTGCGGTCGGCGCTCGTGACGGGCAACTACCACGCCTTTTTCAAGCTCTACCTCGACGCCCCGAATATGAACGCCTACGTCATGGACCACTTCGTCGAGCGGGAACGGGTCAACGCGCTCCTAGTCATGTCCCGAGCGTGAGTAGCGTGGCCCCCTGTCGACCGGGGCTCGGCATCTGCTGACTTGCGCGCCACCTTCCATGCCGAATGCCGTCGCCTCCCGCTCGCAGGTATCGGCCCTCGCTCTCTTTGAGCTACATCGCATCAGAGCTGGCGTTCAACGACGTGGCAGAGGCCCACGCGTTCCTCAGCTCGCACGACGTGGCCATCTACGTCGACCCGACGCCCGCCGAGCTGGCGCAGATGGGGCTGATGGCGCCGCAGGGCGGCAAGAAGCGCAAGAGCAACCCGACGCCCCAGGTGCCGCTCGACAAGCGCACGTGGGACGCCAAGGCGGCCATGGAGCCCCTCGCCACGGCCATGGAGCGGTATCGCAAGGTCGACGTGAGTGTCGTCCCGCAGCTCGGGCCATGGTTTGATACGCAGGAGCATCGCTGGAAGGGACCTTTGCTGACCCGTCGACCACCTTCTCGGGCCGTCCGCACCCCCGCCGCAGATCAAAGGCCAACTGTGATGATGACAAACAAGGTAGGTGGAGAGCGAGCGGACCGTTGCCTGTCGTCCCCCGGTATTCTCGACGATCTAGATACAGGACATCGATCCACAGCCGCCGCCGCAGCGGCGCGCATCACCATCCTACCCCTACTGCTGCTGCGTGCCCGTCGCTCCTGTCTGCGCAGGGCGTTCGACGCGCCCAACTCGTGAGACCCGCGACTCCGGCTCGGGCGGCCACGGAAGCCGCTGCTCGTCGGGACCCTCGGTATAGTCGATGTGGCGGCTCGCGCCTGGCAACTCGGCAGCGGGCGGCATGGGCGGCGAAGCGGCCGAGGCGAGCGCGCGCAAGTCGCCGCGGTGCACGGCGTCCATCCACCCGGCCGTCTGCCGGGCGATGCCGTCGAGCTTGCGGTCCAGCTCCTGGTGGCTGCTGCCCAGCTTGGATCCGCCGACGATGTGCGACGGCTCAAAGTGCTTCTGGGCCGCCAGCTGGCGCAGCTTCTCCGTCTCGCGCGCCAGGCGCGCCTCGGCCGTCTGCCCGACGCCTGGCTGACCATTGCCGGGCGACTGGTGCTGTAGCTGCTGACGCAGCCAGGACTGGACACGCTCGACGGTGCGCATCGAGGCGTTGCTGCCCTCCCCCTCGCCTTCGCCTGCGTCCAGGTCATGACCCTGGGCCTGGGCCTGGGCCTGGGCCTGGGCCTGTCCCTGGTGCTGGTGTTGATCCTGACGCGTTGCCGATGGGCCGAGGGCGGGGCACGTTTGATGCGCCGAGGGGTGTTGCTGGTGCTCGCTGAGCAGTTCCGTGGTCAGTTTGCGGAGCTTGCTCGTCGGGTCGAGGTGCGATGTTGCGCCGGGCTGGCCAGCTCCCCCACCCTGGCCCTGGAGAGGTGGCCGCTGGGATGCGGGTCTCGTGTCGCCGCTGTGCCTGGAAGCTGGCCTCTTGCGCTTTGCCGGTCGAGGTGGCGATGGCGACCGCACATCCTTCGTTGTCGCCGCTCCTGCTGCTGGCGCTGGTGCTGCCGTGGCAATCCTATCATTGACAATCGGCGGCCGCACCACTGACGACGGTCTAGCCTGATCTTCGTCCCTTCCCTCTGCCTCCTCGTCCTTGTCATCCTCCTCCTCGTCCTCCTCCTCCTCGGGACCCTCTGCGCTCAACGAGGCGTCGGCGTCGGTCGACTCGTCGCGCAGGTGACCCTGGAGGCAGAGCTGCTGGTTGACCTCGATGACCTTGATGAGGCTCTTCATGCCGCCGCTCAGCATGTCGACGTAGCCGGCAAGCCCAAACACCATGGTGCGCATGCCGCGGATATCGGCCTCGAGGCTGTCGAGCCGCCGCGCCATCTCGCTCTGGATCGGGCTTGGCGTGGCGTCCATCGTTGTTCGTTCGTACGTCGATCGGTCGGTCGGTGGAGGTGCGCACGGCGTCAGCGGAGAAGAAGGTGAGTTTGCGATGCTGCGTGGGTGTTGGTGGTGGTTGATGTGACAAGATGAGCGGGGGCGGGGAGGAAAAGGAGAAGATGAGGAGGCGACGTACGGAGCAGAGCCAGATCGAGAGACCGGGAGCTAAACGAGGACCGGTGAGCGGGCAGCCAGACGCTCGCTCGGCAATGCTTCACTGCCGATACCGGACGCGGCGCTGCGGTGCGGAAGCCCTCTTCCCGCCCAGCAGGGCAGGCCTGAGCGGCGTCACAACCCCCC